CCTTGCGTCTAAACAGCCGGGTGTCTCTAAGGCACCAAAAGGTGGCCAGCCACCCAAAATTGTAAGCGGTTCTGCAGTAGCTATAGGCGACCTGAGCCTTCAGCCTCAATCCCAAGGTACGGCTAACCCCTTCAACTCTCTTGAGCCTTGCTGGCCCATGCGGGTCAAGTCACACTCTCATCTTCAGTCAGAAGGTTCCTCTAGCAGCCATTAATCCATTGGAGGAGCATATGTAGCTTATTCACCATCTCTTTCTAGTGCAGATCTATCCCCCCGGTGGCCGGATGTGCAGTAGTACTCCAAGGCCATGCTGAAGGCCATCTCTAAGGAGGACAAGGAGGCCATCCCGGGAATACATACGTTCAATGTTGACCGCATCCTAGCCAACCTAGCTAAGGTATTGTAGTTATACTTAATTTTTTCCAAGTGTATTTCCGGCTGCTCTTCTAACCCCGTTTGTATATATGTAGACAATGATGTGAGTGGAGGGGCTGAAAAAGCCTTATGCCAGGAAGCAGGAAGAGGTAAGGCGGGCCAGAAGGGAGGCGTCCGAGTCCCATAATGTAGCTGAGTATCACATGGTAATTCATGATCTTGAAACTAAAGCTAAGCTCATGTCACAAGCGGACTCCATCAAACAGCTCCAGGCTACCCTCAATGGGTCAAATATGAAAGTCTCCAACCTGCAGGACCAACTCGATAATGCTGAGTTGGAGCTGAAAAATACCTAGGTCGATCTAAAGCTAAAGCTCCTGGAGGATACCAAAAAGGAGAATGCCACGCTCAAGGCAGACGTCAACCGTCTGCAGAAGGAGATGGCCGCCTCCCGCGACAACTTCAAGGCCACTATAGCGGCCGAGCATAACCGGCTCATTGAGGAGAATGAGCAGGATTGCGAGGATCGGATGAAAATGGCCTGGTCGCTTGTGTATCCAGAGGCGGATTATACCATCTAGGAGCTAGCCTACAGGTACGCTGATCTTGCCATCCTGGCAAAGGAAGGGGGTCACCCGGAGCTTGAGCCCTTTGAGGAATGGGTCCAGAAGGAGATGGCAGCCAGTGAGGAGGATGAGGAGGCTGATGGAGATGCAGAGGAGGACGTAGTGGCGGTTGATCAAGCTCAGCCAGCATAACCCGAGTGCCCCCATCCGACCAGGACTAGCCTAAAGATGTGCCTCCGCCTCAGCCTTAAGCTTTTGTCTTTGTTTCTGGCCTGCGTGCCGTGTATTTCATGTAATTCTATCAACAACATTCTTACTTCCCCGGATGTGTATCCAGATAACAATTTCTCCCGGCCTTTTGGCCAGTTTTTTTATTAATATGATTAGTCGACTGTGTCGGTTTTGCCAAATTTGCTTCAATTTCTTCAAGTTTTTGCAATTCTTCAATATGCATATTTTGCTATGTAGGCTGATACATGCGGTTTACCGGATGCAGTAGGTGTATTTTGCCCCTGGACGAGTGTTTGTTTGGTAATTAACCCAAGCGGGTAGTCGTCCAATGAGCATCCGGATGGAACGACAGGCGGTCATTAGCTGCATCTGAATCAAATCTCAGTATATAATTCTAAGTTGGAATAACAGGCGGTTTTCTCTATGGTGCCTGGGTTCCTACTTTGATTTTTCGGGTCAACCGGTTGAGAATTACCCCTTGGGATAATCAGTCTTTGCCAATTGTCTAATAGCAAGCGGCCATTGGCCATGTGTAGTTTAAGTCTTCAATTGTAACCGTTTGTATTACTTCTGAGTAAAGACTGGTTATATCCAACCAAGATACTAGTTACCGTTTGCTACAGAACATGTGGTAATTGTAGTTATCCAAGTTTCCATTTGATCATTCAAACGGCTGCGAGTTGTCTAAATCCAGAAAATCGGTAGGGCTGTTTGTAGCAATGTTTTCTAGTTTATAGAACAATGTGCCACCCAAATGGGAGATGCTCTCTGCGAAGAATTTACCCGGATGGGCATCGCCGGTCGCCTACTCATGTTGGAGCAGGCGGTTGTTTTAAGGTTATCTGGCCATTGGCCTCATAGGTAGCTACTAAGTATTGGACTTAGCTTGCATCTACTCATGTTTGGAGCAAACGTAAAATTTTTACAAGTCCGTTTATACATTGCAGAAATACGTGAAAATAAAGCATCTTTTCATTAATAAACTCTATTTACAAAAATTTACAAGTCTTAGAAGTAGTACTTTTTTAAGTTGTCTACATTCCAAATTCTGGCTAGCTGTCTGCCGTCTGGAGTTTCCAGGCGGTAGGTGCCGCCTCTCACTTCTTCATAGATCCGTAGGGACCTTCCCAGTTGGGAGTCAACTTCCTTTGCTCATTGGCCCTACCGGTCAATAAATATCCTCACAATTGCAAAACAATCTCACCTTTGACAAATATCTTCTTTCAATGATCCCTTTTTACCTACAACTTGTTAGACAGGTAAATTTTTTTTTTTTTATGGTATTACTGTCGGATCAGAGATGCAATCCAACACCCCAAAACCCTCCTAATTCTCTTTTCCATTTCTTCAGTTCATCAATGCACCAAAATAATCAATGAACTAAAATTAAACCTTTCTAATACATACCCACTATTAAAATCTCATTCCCATGTATCCTTAAATCAAAGAAAATCACACTAAACATATAACTATTCAAATTTGGGGAAAAATAAAACGATTAAAATTATAATAATTAGAAGAAATATAAGAAAATTTAGTAATGGAATTGAAACATTGTAGAGCTACATCAGCAAATTAGAGCAGAAAAGTTGTGAATAATAGCAAAAATAATGCAATTAAGCTTGTTGGCGTGTCTTGTGGTGTTTTCGGGGTGATATGTACGTGGTGTTTTCGGGGGTTGCTATTGGGGTTTCGGGGATTGGGTAGGTTTTCGGCGTGCTTGGAGGGCTGGGGTGGTGGTTGGGTTGCGGGGGAAGGGTTGGCTGTTCAGACGGAGACGGCGCAAGGGTGGTTGTTCAGGTGTTAAGAGTGGCAGGGCTGGGGGTTTTAGATTTTTTTTTTAAAAAAAAATTATTTTTGTGTCAAAAAATTTTTAGAGCATCCATATTCATGAACCAAAAAAAAAAAATTTGTTCATGTTACTATTTACACAAAAAAATATTATCTCTCATATACATCAACCAAACAAATAATTTCCAACATCCTCCTCATAACAATAAACCAAAAAAAAAAAAAAAAAAATTGTTCATGTTACTATTTATGTACCGACCTCAATTTTTCTTGTATTAAAAATTAATATACATATATAATTTACAATATATTAATTAGCAAAAGTGAATTTTTGCCAGACAAACAATTTTCACAAATGCCATTCACAATTGTTCATGGAACTATTTATTATTCCCTCATTTTTTAAATATTATTCTACTCAAATAGTAACTCAAATAACTTTTTTTTTTTTGAGACAAAATAATTTTAATTGTTCATTGTTAAGGATGCTTTTACAAAATATTGTAAATTTTTTTTTAAGAAAATAGAATAAACCTATTAAAAATTGACACATGTCTCATCATAACCTAAGAAAACCGGTTACAAAAAACAATCCAACCGATGAGCGATTGTTAATAGAAGATCTTGTCAAAGGTGGGATATTTTTTGAATAATTAAAAGGTGGGATTGTTTATGAAAGACCGAGTAAAGGTTGGATTATTAGTTTCCATTTCTCTCTCTCTCTCTCCTTTTTTTTTTTTTTTTATTATTATCATGTATAAACAATATATTAATCATGTTCGTTTAAAAAATATCTATTAATCATGTAATTAGTATCATGCTTAGGATTGTATTAACAATTATTTAGTACCATGTTTAGGATGCGTTAATTCGCTATTTAATTATTATCAAGTTGCTTCCTATATCTACGCAGGTTTATTTGATTTATTGACTTATGCATCGTAAAAAAATGATTTATTGTGTTTGATCACTGATAGCATATTTTAATCAAGACCTATAGTTGAAAATCAGGCCTAATGCTTATAAAATGGATATAAAAGGAAAGTATTGTGATTGTTATAAAACGAAGGAATGAAGTATTAAACAAACTAAAAAATACCAAAGTATGTTTTATTTATTTAATTTCACTTATTCGAATTAGTCTAAACTTAATTTTTTTTTTCGTGAAAAGAAGGAGAATAAAACAATTTTTAAAAGATGAATGAAATACTCCCTCTGTATTTAAATAAGTGAAACATTTCCCTTGTGTACGTACGCGAGTGCAACACTTTGACTGATGATATTTTTTATTACCGATAAGTAAAAATTATAACAATTGAACATTAGATGAATCTTTATTATCGATAAGTAAAAATTGTAACAATTGAACATTAATAAATTATTCATTGAGATGATTCTAACAAGTACCAATTATATTTATTCTTATGTATAAATCACAAACACTAGTCAAAGTAAATTAGATAAATAGTGTAAAAAGGCAAAACTTTTAACTAGTTTAAAAAATGAGGGAGTACATTTTCACAAGTTTCATATGTGGTTGGCCATACCGTGTGACCGGCGTTACTTATTCAAAGGTTATCCGATTAGGGGTTACTTGGCTAGTCAGGGGTTATTCGGTCGGTTAGGGGTTACCTGCTCAAGGGTTACTCGATCGATTAGGGGTTATTCGGTAAATGTTACTTGGTTAGGGGCTACTCGATCAAGGGTTACTCAATCAGTGAAAGGTTACCCATTTAGTATTTTGGTGTGTGTTAGCCGGTCATACAATGTAACCAGTCATATAGAAAACGCATTGATATATTTTAATAAAAAATAATTTAGCGCTACCTTTCCAATTGAAAACTAACAATAAAGATACGAATCAAGCGTAATTAACGCCAATACCGTTAACGGACCAATCACAGAACGAAGTGATGGCAGTTATGTAAATATGCCATGGAATTGTTTTTTTTTTTTTGGTCCCCACAATAGTTTCAAGTAATGAATTCGCAACTGTGTGTAACATCCCTCGGCTTTTGGGCATTATAAAACGAGGCCACCACTTTGGGTCTGAAAAACAGAACAAACTAACACCACTACTCTCACTAATCACTATTCACTTTCTTTCTCTTTTTCTAGGGTAAACAAAAGAAGAGCATTTCTTGATTTTCTTCTTTGTTGCCCCCCCAAAAAATAGAAGTGCCTGTAAATTTTTATTTAACTCGCCGATATACTTTCCCTCCGACATTGTTTTGTTCTGGCCTCTTTTACCTTCGCGTACTCGAGAATTTAGATTTTTACCTACAATGTGGTCGTTTAAGAAGCATTTGAGCCTTTGTTTAGTTGGGGCATTATTGATTTTTGGGTTTGAGGAGGTTGTTGCGACGGCATTGCGCAGGAAAACCGTCGCACATTGGAAACCCGCTACCGCTACTTGGTACGGTGAACCTAATGGTGACGGCAGTGATGGTGAGTGTGCTTACTTTTACTTCAGTAATTTTAACATAATTATTGTCAACTTTTTAATGTTAATTAGTGCATTAGCGTAAATTATTTTTACTAATATAGCATTGCGTTGATATTTTTGTTAGTAATGTGAAAGCTCTTGTCTATTCCGATTACTTTATATTCTAAGGGTATAGCTTAGTTTACTAGGCTAATAAATTAACATACATAGACTTTATGTCATAAACTCATAATTAATTGGTCCTACATTCTCAATTTTATTATTGTATAGTAGAAGTAGTTTTTTCAGTAAAAATAAAATTGCCCGGCCTTGTTTCTACTGACTTTTTTCTAAGTGTGACTGACATCTTGTTAATGCGATACTTTAATTAATAATGATTTTAATTATCAATACGTATGAATTATAAAAATGTTACTATTTGATAATCAATTCTAACAAGTACCCATATAGTTATGGGTAATTTTACGTATACACAATCATTGATCAAAATAGTGGGGTAATACTCTTTAGTACAAAAAAACAAATGGAACACCTAAATAAAAATGGACTAAAATTAATCTACACTATTTGACTTTTGTTTGTAGTGATTACCAACATGTTTAACTGTTGGATACATATAGAGAATAGTTGTAGGTGATAATTATCGAATTATAACTGCAATTTTTCTAGGAAATTTTTTTAATTGCTACCATCACATAAATATTTTCCCTTACTGTAAGTAAAATTAATAAATTATTTACACTAATTTTCTTTTTAAATGAGGTACAGACTACAGCAGAGGGAGTAAATTATCTGCTTACAGTAATTACTTGGCGCTTTTTTTTTCGAAAGAACTTGGCACTTTCTAGAATCTAATGAGTATTAAATTGTTATACTCCTTCATATGGCTTAATTTTATCCATAAAAAAAAAGTTTTATTTGGATCCTGCATTTTATACTTACTGCAGTATAAACGATGTATTAGGAGTTCATATTACATTATCAATGTGATTATTACGAGTATTTTTTTTTTCATCTATAAAAGTAGTTAAAATTTTCTTAGGCAGCTAAAATTCTTAATTAAGATGATACACGAGATAATTAGTGAATAATAAAGACGGAAAAATTGATGCAGGTGGGGCATGCGGGTACGGATCATTAGTGGATGTAAGACCATTTAAGGCACGTGTCGGTGCGGTTAGCCCGATCCTATTCAAGAACGGAGAAGGTTGTGGGGCCTGTTATAAGGTCAAGTGTTTGGACAGTGAAATTTGTTCTAGGAGAGCCGTTACTGTTGTCATTACTGATGAGTGCCCTGGTGGTTATTGTTCCGGTGGAAATACCCATTTTGACCTTAGTGGTGCCGCCTTCGGTCGCTTAGCCATTGCAGGTGAAGGTGGCCAGATTAGAAACCGTGGGGTCATTAATGTCATTTACCGAAGGTAACTTTCTTTCTCTCTCTTTTTATTTGCTGTCTTGTTGAGTCGTGTAAGGTTGTGTTTTTTTCGATCAGTTATAACCTATAAGGATGTTAAATGAAAGCGATTTAAGGACTTAAGGTTCTTTGATTATAAATATTTTCTCGATTTATACTAGTTGACACATTTATTTAATAAGGTTGTTAATACATAATTTCAATTTAATTTGTACTACTTTTATGAAAATTAGGATTTATATCAATATACCATTATACACTTAATTTTTACTTGTCTAATGTTGGTTTAATTTATACTCCGTATTAATAGCCAATAGGGGCAGATTTGGGAGGTGGGTTATGTAATTTTGTTCTCATTTGCTTTGCCTTTTTTGACTGGAAGCTTTTCTGACGTCATTTATTTTGACTATTTGACTGCATTGAGATGTACTGTGTTTACTGTTTAGTATACTCACTGTTGACTGCTCTGTTCAGGCTTCTCTACTGGTACTTTTGTTGCTAACTGACTGAGAATTTGCTACGGAAAACTTGTTTTATACTCGAACTTCGTATAAATTATCATTATTATTATACTTCCTATATGAATAATTTTTTTTATTGATTCAGATTCCAAAAATCTTTAAGGGGTAAAATTGTAAATATGAAATTTTTTGTTCTCATTGAAAAAGGTGAAAAGTTATGGTTATATGTGAGTTTGTGACCAAAGTCTGTCTCACTATATTATAACCACCCAATTGTTACTTGTTAATGCAAATTTTTATCTATAAACTCCCATTAAGTCATGTTTAACTGTTGACTAATGCTTTTTTTTTTTTTTTTCCTGTCCTATAACACAAGTAATTTTGTTTTTAATTTTCTTTTCTATAAACGTTAATCGGAATATATTCACAATTAACTTTGGTCGAACTTGATTTGCTATAACATAGTACAAGTATTTTACAAATATACTGTTGATTTTTTAAAACATATCAAATTAAAAGATTATTTTTTTTTTATTTTTATTTTATCAATTTTACGGCTAATAAATTTATCTTAAATATATTTTTAACTTAAGTTTCTATCAAAATTATAGGACACCTTGTAAATATCCTGGAAAGAAGGTAGCCTTCCATGTAAACGAAGGCTCGACTAATTATTGGCTTTCTCTTTTGGTGGAATTCGAAGATGGAGATGGTGATGTAGGTTCAATGCACATAAGAGAGGTAATTTGTTCATGCGTCATTTCATACATTTTTCCTATATTAATAATAACGCCTCGTTTTCTTTTTCATTCAATACTAATATAAAACCCTTATTATGATCGTGTTTTGAAGACATTATTAGGATATATGGATACTAAGAGCATCATTAATGGTTGTAGTCAAAGATTTACTTGCGATGTTTATAAATTCCTAGCTTACTAGCCTACTACTAAGCTGATCATTTACAAGACATGATAAAAGATACTTACCATACAAACAGTGATAAAGTTCAAATAATGAATTATGTAATGATAAACTAAGAAGTAGAATAAAGTTTCTATTTTTGAGTTCAAAAGATGCATTTTAAAATATAATTTGTTAGTGGTTCACGAGATCATCATAAAAAAAAGTTGCGTCTTTTAATCTTTGGTGCCCAAAAAGCACTAAACAAAAGCAGTGGAAATCTCTGAAGGCAATATCTTTTCATTTCTAGTAGAATAATTTTCCTGAAAAATTATAAAAAAATAGGTAGCTTTTGTGTAATACAAAATTAATACATATACATTTTTCATTGCAAAACTTTAACGATCAATAACTTAATTCTTCACAAGTAAAAATTATAAAAGTTATATATTATGATATTACTTATTGAGACGAATTTAAAAAGATTACACGTGAATATGTTTTTCCTAATTCCAAATATCACGGAACAAAGTTTGTAATTCCACCAAATCAACGTTCTCAAGCTACAATAATTAACTAAAGAAGAATAGGAAAAAAAAAGTATAGTTGTTCAGAAGATGAATTAAATTTGTCAGTTTTGGTCGTGACAAAGTGTAAATGCGCAGTGTGCGCAATAGAGTGTGTATCATGCTTGCTTAGCTTTAATTTGCTTGACCCTCTTTGCTAAAGATTTTCAGTGCGAGAACATGCAAAAGGACCCTACTTTTTTGTGTGACTTCTTACATCAAAGCATCACCTTGCTGTTTTGAACAAATAATACACCGTAGCCTTATTTTTTTTTTATTTATTTTTTTAATGTGTTTGAATTGGTAATATAATGTGTCTTCAATGTCCTCCTTCCGCTCACAATTAATCGCTTCACTTCACTCATATTTACTACAAAGTAAAGTAATGTTTAACCATTATATATTTAATTATTTAAATACATAAGTAGAGTATATTACTATGAAGTAAATAAAATTTTACATAGTAAAAACATTCAATACTTCTTATGAGATATGTCTTATGTCACTCGGACTTGGGTACCCATGTCGGACACATGCACGTGTTTAAGTGTCCAACTCGGCTATTTTATGAAAAATTTCTTTGATTCTAAACTAAAATGAAGTATCTAAGTATCCTACCTATATCCGAGTGTCGAGGATTTGACACGGATACTTGAAGTGAGATGAAGAGTCCGAGTAACATAGATTATGATAAATGAATGATGTAAATGTCAAAATGTCTCTGTAAAACTTTGCCCTTTCGTTTATGAATGTTTATTTTCATTGTGTTGAAAATTGTGTACAAACCCCCATGTAATATACAGATATGTTTTGAAGGTGTTTCTAGTTGTTTAATTACTAATGATTTCTGGATCGAATGTAGCCTTAATCTATTAACATCACCTGCTCACCTAGGTAGTTAATTAATTAGTATAATGACCTAGCTCATGTGCATCATTATTAATCTAACCAAGTCGTGTTCGCGACTTGACTATAAAACTAAGCTACCCATTACTATTCAAATGATCAGTTTCAGAGAAGCAGAAAATTGCCAACTATGTCTGACGAAAGTATTTAACTTCTAATGTAAACAATTAATTGATGGCTTCTTAATCCATTAATTAACAGTTTAGATTCCCACTAAAAAGAAGGTTTTAGATTAGAGTTGTTACTTTAAAATATACTGATTAAGATCCCCTCATCAGGAGAGAAATTACTTATCTAAGTTATTTTCCCAAAAGTTCTAATATATCTAATAATGATTTTCCCTAAATCGTCATCTCTAGTAGTCTACTAGAAAGTGCATAGTAATGAAATATAGAGAGACAAAAGAACTAGCTACAAATAAGGTTTTCAAGATGCACCATCAAATGTCTTCTCCACTAGAAAAAAAAAGGCATTATAATGAGACAAAGAATTATACTAATTTAAGCATCCTACCTTTAATTTTGAACTTGACATAATTTTCCATAAATTAATAATATCTATGTAAAAAACAGGATGATTTAACATGAGTTAGGTAGATTATTCATTGGCTATATGTACATGATTAGAATTGTGAATCCAATTGTAGCAAAATCATTCTTTCTTGAGGTTCAAATTTGGGAATGTCTCAATGTCATGTCAAATGTATTTTATTTCAATATCATCAGTCACATTAGTGACATACTATGACTTAGCTTTTTTGAAAAAAATATGTACACACGGAGTAAATATAACTATTATATTATTTTAATATTAAACAGTTTTATGATAGCTTTAGTTTTCTTGAAAACTAATTCACATAATTTTCCAAATTAAAGAAACATGGTATTATTAAGGCTATTATACAAGACTTACTATTGAGCATTTTACCACTTATATGGCTCCATACCACTCTAATATCCTAATCTATATTTGACAAAAATTCTGAGAGCTTTTTTGATAAATGAGGTTAGTAAAATAAAACGGAGTAGTATTGCTTGTGCGTTATGTTATATTAGAATATGTTATATGTGTACCAATGAACTTTTTTTTTTCTTCTTTTGTACCAACATATTTGGTTTATCATTTTTCTCTACTTGAACTCGAGCTTGAGTCTTTTTTCGAACAGCGTTAACATTTTGCATCATCCAAAACCTTATTTTGATGTTATTTTCAAACAATGTTATTGGTTATAAGCTCTTTCTACTAGTACTTGTAATTATAAGAGTTGGAGCTTAAAGCTAACATGTGAGTGTCTTTGATTGAAATTGGCAGGCAACATCAAGTGAGTGGATTGAAATGACGCATTTGTGGGGAGCAAATTGGTGCATAATTGGGGGACCTTTGAAGGGCCCATTTTCGGTTAAATTGACAACACTTTCAACGGGAAGAACCCTCTCAACTAGGGATGTCATTCCACAGAATTGGTCACCGACAGCCACTTATACTTCTCGCCTTAACTTCCTTCCCTGACTATCGTGATCCATTATCGTGAAACTGTATCATACAAGACTTTGTCTTTTGAAGGATCGTGCATTCAACATTCGTATGGGATGGTGCACATGCAACTTAATATTGTGTTTCATTATTGTTTGTCTTTTTTTTTGGAAGAAAGATGAAAAGTAGCATCCGATGCTCTATCATTTTTCTTTGATTATCCTCTCAAAGTCTTTGTAATTGATGCTTCTTTATAGTAGGGTGATCTGGAAGGGTTTGAAGGGAGCCCTCTCCTAAAGGAGGAGAGAGAGCGACAGCATGTGAGTCTTCGTTGTATGATACTATATAGTAGTATATGTGGAGTTGTAAGTTTGTGAGTTATTTATTCATGTTGTGTTTGTGTTTTTTTAATCATGAATGGGTAGCTTCAAGTTCAAATGTAAGTTGTGATTATGGATGGATGAAAAATATAATATGTAAGACTATCTACAAAAGGGTATACCCCTTTGTTTTTGTATTGAAAATTTCATCATTCTAGCTGTTATTGACTTCTTTTCTTCATTTATGGTTTTGTATGGTGACCCACTAATTTTCTTTATAGCACACAATCAATTTAGAAACAAACTAAGATATATAGTGTGATCCAATGGATGCTTACAATTTTAGTGGGTCAAATAATCTTTGATGCTTATCTATTGTTTTGGGTGAAACAAATGTGTTGAAGACTTTGACTTTTATTAGTGGATTGAAGATCGGTTTGGATCGGTGAGATGATCCGAAAAACACCTACACAGAAGAGCACATTAACTGGTCTGGGGGTCTGTTTTAGGAAACCCCTTCGATGCCTAAGTTAGTATATGAGATTGAAAGCTCAATGAGAGAATTTAATGCTTGCAAGTGTAGTTAATGGGAAGTGATTTGTAGACCTTTGTTTTAGTGATTTTGGAGTATTTATACCTTACAAATATGGGCCCCAACATTGATGGGCTGATTTGGTCAAAATGGCAAAGGGATTTGCTTTGTGGACTTTAGATGTGTTAGACTTGAGGCATGGAGAAGTGTGCAAAGTTTAAGCTAGATCTGCGTGCAGCCAGAGCTGGCTGGTCTCGCGACCAGAAATAAATATTTACTACGACGAAAATGAATATTTAGTAATTGAACATATTTGAAAAGTGGCTAGTTCTCTCCAACAAAAATTAACATTTACTAAAAATAAAAATGAACATTTAGTAATTAAACATATTTGAAAAGTAACATTAAAACTGCAAATGTATATCAAAAAATTGAGATGAATATTTCTTTAAATGACAATGAACACTTTTTTTTTTAATGAAAAATGAATTCCAAATCAAAAGAAAGAAATATCTAAAACTTGAAATTAACATTGCAATATATAAAAATGAACATTTATAATATATGAGTAAAATAAAGAGAATACGAAACTGAAAAAAAAATTTGTACATCTAATATTATATAACTGAACATTTCAGTTGTAAATAAAAATGAACATATAATGTTGTTGCTTATTTATCAACATTTTTTTAAGTTCAAGTGAAATCATATTGCATGAAAATGAACATTTATTTTAGGAAATTTTGAATTTTAACACCACAAATAAACACGAATTTCACTTTTAACACTACAAAAAAAAAAAAAACACTTTTATTTTCACACCACAAAAAGTTTACAAAATATGATTTTACCACCACTTAACTGATTCATGCATGAAATCCGTTAGGTGGGGTCAAAGTGCCACGTGTCGTCGTGCTATTGGTTAAAAAAAAAGTAAAAAAAAAAATTTTAACCCTAAAACTAATCCTAGCCACCCGTCCATCACCACCGACACCCTTTCCCCACCCTACCCACGCAGCTGCAACCACCGCTCTACCGCCGGCGCACGCTTTCCCCAGCCCACGACCACCAGAAACCACCACTCCTCCTTTCCGCAACCGTAAACCGGTCCACGACGTGTTTCCCCACCGAAAACAGCCGCCATACTCCAAAAACGACCACTGACATTAGCCACTAACTAGGAGCTGATAGGTCAATTTCGACCCTTATCCGGCCGATTTCGACCATTAGTGGCTGATTTCGTCGCCGTTTTTGGGTGGGGAGCCGTTTTGGGTGGCTGATTTCGTCGCCGTTTTGGGTGGGGGAATCCACTAACGAGCACGACGACACGCTGGAGGAAAGGATGCGTCTGGTCGTCCGGTGGTTGGAGCTGGAAAGGGAGTGTGCCGTTGGGGGCAGGGTGGCGACTGCACGTATTGGGTGGGGAAGGGGTGCCGGTGATGGTGGTGGTGGTGGTGTTGAGGTGGTTGGGTTAGTTTAGGGTTTTTTATTTTTTCTTTTTATTAAGCTAATAACATGTCAACACGTGGCAACGTGGACCCCACTTAACGGATTCTTGGACGGAATCAGTTAAGTGGTGGTAAAATCTAATTTTATAAACTTTTTGTGGTGTTAAAATAAACGGATTTTTCATGAAATAACACTGAGTATTTCGAAAATTCACCATATACCACACAAAATTTTTTAATACACCAAATACCACTGAGTTTTTGGTAAATGTCACAACATACCATTTCCGTTAACGATGTTAGTCATTAACGTTAATTATGCCACATAGTAGCTTGTAATTGGTGATTATTAATGTTATTTATTTAATTAACTAACTTTAAAAAAAATTAAAGTAAAATGAATACAAAAAAAGGGGGAAAAAAAAACCAAACCAACACCAGCCCACAACCACTAGTGGTGGCACTCCCCTCCCTGACCCTCTTTGAACCACCCCCTCCCTAACCCCAGCTCCCGAAACCTCCCCTAAGACCGCTCCACCTCCACAAAACTGGCTCTCTCCACCCCCGAAACCACCTGTAACACTAACCTCCCTCGCCTCCCTCCACCCTCGAAACCATATACCGAAATCGTCCCCCTCGCCTCCCTCCACCCCCGAAACCACCTATAACACTTTAGAGAGGATTTTAGGGGTTTCGGCAGCCGAAAATAGGAAGGGAAAGGGTTTCGTGGGATGGTGGGTTGGCCGAAAATAGTCGAAAAGGGATGGGAAAGGGGGTTTTGGGTGAAGTGGCTGGAATCGAAAAGGGGAGGGCAAGGGGCTTTTGGGTGGGTGGCCGGAATCGAAAAGGGGAGGGGATGGGGGTTTTGGGTGGGGTGGCCGGAATTCGAAAAGGGATGGGGAAGGGGGTTTTGGGTGGGGTGGCCGGAATTCGAAAAGGGATGGGGAAGGGGGTTTTGGGTGGGGTGGCCAGAATCGAAAAGGGGAGGGAAGGGGTAGAAGGCCGCCGGCCTCCGGCGCGCCTGTCGTTTCTGGCCTCTGCGGCAAGGGGTTTGGCGGTGAGGTGGCCGGAATGGGCTGGCTGGTGGTGGGCTGGTGGCAAGCTGGCAGCAGGTTTTGTTTTGTTTTTTTTTTTATAATAATTTTTGTTATTTTTTGGTTTTTATTTTTTCTATTTGATAATTAATTAAATAATTATTCTAAAATTAAATAATTTAGAAGGGAACCAATCACAAGCTGCCACGTGGCATTATTAGCCTTAATGACTAACAGTGTTAACGTCCGTTAGTCATTAATGGTATGTTGTGACATTTACCAAAAACTCAGTGGTATTTGGTGTATTAAAAAATTTTGTGTGGTATATGGTGAATTTTTGAAAAACTCAGTGGTATTTCATGAAAAATCTGTATAATAAAAGGGTATTTTTTTTTTGGTAGTGTTAAAAGTCAAATTCGTGTTTTTTTGTGGTGTTAAAATTCAAAATATCCTTTATTTTAAAAGAATAAACATCATATTGCATGAAAATGAACATTTAATTATTGAGAAATACAAAACATTTGTAATACAAATGAACATCTAATTTCATATTTTTGAAAATTAAAATAAATAAATAAATATTTTTTCATTAACATGATATACATATTAACATACAATTTTATGACTATGAACATTCTGCTAATATTAACCTGAACATCATTAATATACTCTTCAATTGTATATTATTCACAAGTGAACATAAAACATATGAGAATGAACATATATTGATTATATAATGAACAAAATTGTACAATATGTTCAGTTAGAAAATGTTCATTTTTGTTATAGTAAATATTCATTTCTGGTAGCAGGACCAGACGCGAGTCCAGCTAATACTAATGGAAGTGCTTCCCCTGTCCAAGTCAACTTTTTACTGTCAGCAAGTTAATTATGACTCTAACAGAAAGTTGTTAGAGTTTGTTTTGTATTATTACACTATATATATTCTGCTCATGTAATTTTATTTATCAGATTTTCCCATAATAAAATTTCTCATAATTTTCTCTCAATTTCTTTTCTCTAGAATCTTCTTCTTCTTCTTTTGGATTTTTGTTTCTTCACGTGGAGAATCATAGGTCAATCTGGTATGGCTCCAAACCAATACCCCGTGCAAATGATTTATGACGTTCGTGTACTTGTAGCACAAGAAACGTTGCTATAAATCATACTACACACTAATCTTCCATGGTCATTAAACGTCCATCCTTTCAGGGACCTCGATTAGGGTTAATTTTGATATGACATTCAATGTTTACTTAATAGGTGTTTCTTTATCCAATACATTGTCTTGATACCCTATCTTGAATATCATCAAATCGAATGGACTTCCCATTTAATTCTAACCGTAATTAAATGATCATGGAATAATAAGCAAAATATTATTCCACTATGAAACTTTTTAACGTTTCATTGATAGGCGTAGAATTCGTCGTTAAAAGTCCTCTTATCAAACAATTCCTAACTACCAACCTAAGCGAATATAGCGGGAAGTAAGGGGTCATATTTCCACAGGGAAGCGAAGAAAATCAATCACAAAATCCATGAACACAAGAACCAAGGGGTATATTATTGGTTTTTTTTTCGGTTTAAACACTAAGAATAACTAATAACACAAATAACAAGGGATAAAAACAAGCGCTAGGGGGTACAGGGGTTCCAAACATGGCCAACTCATCAAAATAATGATGGAAATCAAGATTAACAAGCCAAGGAATGTGAAATTCCACCTAAATAATTCATTTTGTTCAAGCAAATCTATTATCAAGATCTAATGCCTAAATTAAATCCCTCATGTGCATCCAAAATAGGAAACAATTTAAATTAGGGAATTAAAGGTGCAATTAATAATCTCAAGCAATTAATAGCACAAATCTTCAATTCAAGGCATAATAATCAATCATCCATCATGATCTAGTCAACATCAATCCATATTCTGTACCCCCTTCCTCTAGCTAGAAATCTAGCCTAGAGAAAAGAGAGAAACCATTGAAACAAAGCTAGATGAAACAACTAACACAACTAAGCTGAACATGATTCACTAACAAGGATGAACAAAACAAATCAACAAACTAAACCACAAGACAAGGATAACAAACAAAATAGACAGCAAATAACTAAGTAAAGAGAGAAGAGGGTAAAAAATTACTCAACAAAAGCTTGGATTGAAATTAACTTCAAAGGAAATCAAGTGCTATAATGGAAAATTGAAGATTA